GGACTGGCTCTGTGGGGACTTTCCCCTGAGAAATCTTTGAGGAAATGTTGGGTGGTTTCAAAGGCCACCTTCCAGGAAGGCAGGGCTGACCCCATCGGCCCAAAACCAGCCCCTTGCACTAGCCGGGCATGGCCCCCTGCTGAGGGGTTCACCCCCGGCCCCACGGCCGGGCACTGCAGGGCATCGGGCTGCTCCTCTCGTTTTCTTGCAATATTTGGGGACAAAAATGGGCTTTTTTTAAGGTAGGAATTTCCTGGTGGGAGGAAGTTGTGGAGAGTCTGTCCCGTGCCTGGCTCAGCAGATGTGCCCCTCCCCGGCCCCCCTGGCATCCCTCACCAGCCTCCGCTGCCCCCGTTTGACAAGAAAACCGCCAAGGGAGGAGAAGCGTCCCGGGGGCATGGCACTGCATCGGTGCCAGGATCCAGCCTGGAGATCCACCCCAGGGAGGGTGAATTAAGACTGGGCGTCCAGCACCTGAGCGTGGGCTCAGCACTCTCAGCCTGGCACCCAGCACCCTCCAAACTGAGCTGACCCTACAAATGGTTTCTGGGGGGGTTGGGGTGTCACACTCCTGGTTTGGGTTGAGGACCCTTGGGTCCCATCAGCATCACCATTGCTGTGCCAGCCACCCTTCCGCTCCTGCCTACCCCCCCACTGCAAGCTCCCAAGCTCTGCGGTGCCTGGCACTGTGGCACCCACCACTCCTGCTGGGAACAGCAGCCAGTGCCAGGGCCTCCTGCCTGGAGGAACAGGTTGGGCAGGATTGCTCCTTGCTGGCATGCGGGGTTGCTCCTGGCCCGCAGCCAGGGCTATGCTGGCGGAGGCGCAGGATGAGACCGGCCTCCATCCCGCCATGCTCCTGCCTCTTATCGGCTTCATCGCGGGGCTCCCCCCATCCCCACTTCCCGCTGGCGCAGCCCTGGCTTAGCACCCATGAGTGTGAGGGTTACGTGGGCAGTGGGCAAGCGCACCCGTGCCAGCCCTGGCAGGACAGTCCCCACCCTCTGCGTGAGTCACCGGCCACCCGCCAGCACCCAGACACACAGCCACAGCAAAATTTCTTTACTGCTTAAAACAGTCCCGCCGGCACCCGTGGCCCCGAGGTCACCATATGTACCGTAGTGGGCGGGCGAGAGTGTCAGGGCACCCCAGGAGCTGTGCACCGCATGGCAGCCGGCTTGCAGTGGCAGGCGGTTTGGGGACCCCTTAAGTCCTTCGTGTCCATACGTGTGGTCCTGGGCAGGCGGGCACGCTCCTGTCCCCCTGCCACCGCAGGGACGCAGTGGGACCCGCTGCCACCGGGCAGCCTGCCTCTGGCGCAGCTTGTGCCGCAAGCCCCCTCTGGCTGCCGGCGCAGCCCGGCACTGCTCGTCCCCGTAGCTGGCTGGAGAAGCCAAGTGCTGCTGGCCGTGCCTCAGACAATGCTGTGCCTCACGCCGGGTTCGTGGGGCGCCTGGAGGTGCAGAGGAGTCCCCGGCAGGTGCCGGCGGCAGCAGACGCAGTGCAGGAAGTCGGCGACGTTGTGCCGGAAGAGCTGGCGGCAGGGGTGCAGGGACAGGCAGAAGAGGAGCATGAAGTAGATGCCCAGGCAGTAGCCGAGGAGCAGCTGCACCACCAGCAGCGGGGTGCAGATGTTCTCGTAGACGTCCGTCTTGAAGAAGTACCAGAGGATGACGAGGGCCGTGTTCTCCGCCAGCCGGGCCATGTAGTACACGGCCAGGCGGCCCCAGTTCTGCGACTTGTCAATGAGGTCCCGGTCAGCCAGCTTGAGCTGAACGGCCGACCAGCAGAACATGTTGATGCTGGCGTAGAGGAGGGTGAAGGCACAGAGCACCACCACCGTGCCCACCCGGCTGAAGTTCTTCTCTATGTTGTCGGGCAGGCGGGTGCCGCTCCGCCAGAACTGCACCCAGGGCAAGAAGAAGACCACCAGCAGGTTGGCCAGGGCGATGGGGATGATCCAGTGCTTGAAGACAGTGCTGAAGAGCACGAGGACAGCCACGCGGGTGGAGATCTCCAGGCTGCGCCACAGCACAATGCAGAGGAAGGCCAGTGGCCGCAGCTGGACCTTGTAGTCATCATACTTGACCTGGATAGCCAGGATGTTGCAGACGAGCGCTCCGTAGGTGACCGACACCAGGCAAATGCCCATGAGGACGGCTGCAGAGGAAGAGGGCAGGGGAGTCAGGCAGTGCCGGGGAGCGGGCTGTGTTCCCGGCCTCTCTGCTGCCCTGGGTGCAAAGCGTGGGGTGCCAACCCCGGGTGTGAAGTGCAGGGTGCCAAGCACCAGGGCTTGCAGCAGGAGGCTCAGTGTGAGCACTGCTGGGACAGCTCGTGGCTGGTGGTGACGGACCCCGCGATGGGGTGGCTGTGGGGGAGCACTGCAGGCAGCAGGAGGCTCTGCTCTCAGATTTTCTCCCTACACCAATAAACCAGAAGCCTTTGCCAAACCGGGGCTGTTCTGTGCTTGAACCGGGCACCAACCCCCCTGCCCTGTGCAAGAAATGCTGCTCAAGGGCGAGTAGGGCACGGTCTGTGTTGCAAGCATCCCTCTACCCTCACCCGGGCCAAGAGCCACACCACCATAGCCCACCATTCACCCCATTCACCCCGTGAGCACCTCAAGAGCCACCCTTGTCTGGGGGCTGCAAAGCCAAGGTCATTCGTAGGGAACACGGGCAGTTGCTCGCATTCAGCGCAGCCAGGAAAACTGTGACGGAGAAAAAGGGAAGCATGCGGCGGGTCCCAGTTGCGCCGTGCCAGCGGCAGCGGCTGCAGGCTGTGGGGCTGAGCTGAGACACCTGAGCTGCGAGGGAATCACCCGAGACGTGTCAACTGGGATTTGCTTCCCGCATCTGCTGCTGGAGGAGCGCTGGGATCATCCTCCTGCCTCTGCTGTTCCTACTCCCCAAAACGCCCTTGCAGGGGGCCATGGCCAAGGAGGGGGTTTCTATGGGGCATGTTCCGTGTTCCCTTTTCCCTGCGCCTGCCGTGGGCACAGAGGGCAAGGCCTGGGCTCCCAGCAGAGCTGGGAGAGGGTTGGCGAGGGCAGCTCCTTCACTGGGCGCTACAATTGGAAAGGTGCAAGAGCACTCCTGCATGCCTGGCTCGGTAGCACGCTGAAGCAGGAGTTAAAAGCTTCCTCCGGCACATCCAGCCCCTGAGCACCGCAACACCCCGGGAGCTGGTGAGGCAGCCTGGGAGCGCTGGGCTGGGAGCTCCAGCATTGGGAAAGGCACAGAAATAGATCCGACAGAGGGAGCGTGGGGAAGCCAGTAACTAATGCAGTAACTAATGCAGACTGGAGCAGCCTGGGGCAGGGGCACGGCATCTTTATGGGACAGGGCACCAGGCGGATGGCACGGCTCTGTAGGGCAGCTGTCTGCAAGCAGCGGGGCTGGGAGCAGAGCCTGGCGCCTCAGTCACAGACAGTCCTTCCCACTCTCCCCAGCCTCACTCCAAGCTGGAAAGCAGAGCGCTGGGCGTGGGAAAAGCAAACCAGGGGACAGACAAGTGCCCAACCTCTGCGGGTTGCGCTCCACATTTAGGGGAGTCCGGTAGCAGCCGTGCCCCCAGCAACTCCCCAGAGCTTCGTCCAGATGCCACACTGGCACACACGGCTAAGGAGCTGCCACTGTGCCCTGGTGGGGTCCTGCCTGCACGGCCCCGGGGGAGCCCATGGGGTGCCAGGCACCCTTACCTCGGGCGGCAGGGACGTACTTCTCCAGGATGCTGATGTAGAGCTGGAGGGTTAGCT